TTCCCAAATGTGCACACCAGTGACACAAATGATGTTTAATTCGCACAATATGTTGCCATGCCTTTTCAGGCGATCTTTTGACTTGCCTTTGCATGTGTTTGTGACAGGTGCCACCGGTGAATAGGATACGCTTACCTTTTCGCGAGCACCTGGCCATAGTAATTCATAAACACATGCTCATGATATAGCCAGAATCATACAATCGACTCTGATTTTTGCAAAGATTTCTTGTACATATGGAAAGGTTTTTTTTACTTTTATTATTGTGATTTAGCAAATGTTTTTTTGTCAATTGTAGCTTTCAATAGATTCAATTAAGTGGAGTCTTGTTTGCATATATCCGTATTTAAGCCTAGGGTATAATTGTGGATGAAACATGTGCCTCTGAAAGGTGATAAAACCCGTTTTTAGGGCCTTGGCATTAAAACGTACATTCAAGGTATTTACAGTGTCTTACTCTGTCGAATTCTCGGTTGTGTCATACTGATTGTCTGGTTCCGGGGACATTCTTTCAGTTCTATCATTAATTCACCTCATTGTTATTATGGTACTGGCATCCCTAGGTGTTGACATTGCTGCTTTAGTTATAATATTACGGGATTTCTTAAAACGTTTTGGTGGGGTCAATGTTGTTGATCTGTTGGTTGGCAATTAAGGGCTACCACATGGAAATGTGTATTCAAAATCTTACACCTCAACAGTACACGTGTATCATCATGTCACATCAAATTAATCACTTTCGTGTCATATAAGGACCGCCTCCGTGGTCTAGTGGTAGAGCGTCCGCCCGGAGTGCGGAAGGTCCGGGGTTCGATCCCCGGCCGCGTCATACCAAAAGACGTTAAAAGATGGTACTTGTTGTTACCCTGTCTGGCGCTCGGCATTTAGGGGCTAAAACAAGGACTGGTCGGCTCGAAGTCAGTATACTGTGTCAGAGTGGGGTATTCATGTTAAACTGCGGCATGGTATCTCAGTGAGCTAGCACTATAAATCGGCATCAGTCCGGACTAGTACAAGCAGCCACACACACACAAACAAGTACATGCACGTCGCTATATAAGTGCAATAATCTTGGACGCGACGTTAAACCCCATTTCACCTCACCTCACCTCGTGTCATATAATCCCTTATAGGGTGTCCGGGTTCTAATAGACCCCAAACAGCCAATGCTGGTCGTATGAGGAGACTTAAGAGATCGGGTGGTCAGGCTCGGTTACTTGATTGATTGGGTACCACCGTACGTGGATCGTTGTTCATAATATCAATCACTTGCATTGCTTGTCTGGCCTAGACTCAATTATGTACAGGCGCCGTCACTTGGAAAACACACCAGTAAAAATATACCTTTCATTGTTCAGACTTTTTTTATGAGCATACATGTTTATCATGTTTATGTATAAGATACCTGACTCACATTGTTTGATCAACAAAAACATCAAAACATCCATACTTTCAAGTATCAAATGTCTTTTTTGTATGTCGTTAATGAACGTAACGAATCGTATTTGCCCGATCGCAATTTGAGTACTTACTCTGCAACCTCTGAACATTACATGTCACCATTCTTGAAAGGATCAGAAAGGTTATTCTTGTATCGCAATATAAGATCAATATTTACTGTTGATAAAGTTATAGACGAGTGCGATAAAGTTATGGATGAGTCTACCAGTATTTCGGCCATTGCAAACAATTTCCATCTTCGTGTGTATGGTATAAAACTGAAATTCAAGACTAATATACCACTACATCTTGATGGGAAACCTACAGCATACAAACCTCAAACAAACCAACATGTTAACAAGTATTGAACCAGTATTATTTGGGTAAACCACCTACCTATATTACCACCACACTTTACTTAAAGATAGTCATCGAGTAATATTTGACGGCTAGAAGGCCTAAAGTATCATGTGACCTAAATATGACGCAAAAATATTCCCTTTCGCACACGATGGAACATCCTAATTAAAATAATCTCGAATAACAAACAATTAACTGAGGAAACTGTCAATTTGGCTGAAATATTGCCGACACGATGTAAAATTTCACTCACTAACTCTTACACAAACCACACCCAAGCCGTGTATAAAATGCCGCTCAATTTCAACCTTAAAACTAAAAGATACCTCATACATTGAACGTCCGAAGGTGACAATGCCACAAGTAGGGACAATAGATGGTACTAACTTTATTAACGATTAAAAGCGAACATGACATTTCTTGATTTCAGATTTGTGGTGTTCTGGGTCATGTAAGTAACCAATTGTGGCTGCACATTACTAACCAGATTACCCTTTGTCCAATAACCTCCGCAGCATAGTGACCTACATTTGCTATACGCATACTCGTATAGCAGACATAGTGCCACTTGAGAAGGTTTTCTTTGTGAATAACATTCACAGTATTTCAGTTGCGTCATCTATGTCTTCCTTTCTTGCATGAACTTTGCATACATTAATGTACATACAATACACATTGATAAGGAAACTTGATACACCAACTTTCAACAACAACATACATTCTGTCAATGCATTTCCAGTATATTGGTGATAATACATTTTCATTAATGTGCATGCAGTACACATTGACAACGAAAGTACACCAACTATCAAGAACAGCATACATTCTGTCAATGCATTGAGAGCTTTCCAGAATATCGGTGAAAATAATTTACGTAAACATTAACGTATCATTCAACAATTATTGTATGTCTACATCATTAAGCTATGATGTCTTCGATAGCTAGATCATTGCGGTTTCAAATTGGGTAATTCATCATACATAGTGCAAAATTCAACGTATTGACATGACATTCATTATTTTGCTATTTTTTAATTTATTGAAACTAATATAGCTAATTCGTGACTATTATCGCCAAAGTATGACTCCTCCGTTGATTGCAAATGTGATTTGTTTATTAAGAAAACTTTGTTAACATAACCGATTCTATTGAAAATCGCAAATCTATTTAAGCCTGCAAGTAATCAAAAGTCAATTGATAAAATCAATATTCATCATAGGAAACACATAGTCACCAACACATTCAGCAACTGACAAGCGATGTGACTTACTTTTTCCCCTCCAATCAACTAACTGAAGACAGATGAAGTGAGAGTTGTTACCCTGACTAACACGCTGATTGTCGCAGCCAGAACGCCAAATAGAAGGTTAATAAAACCTACAAATATTCCAGAATTTTGATTTACATTTCTATCTTTTACACGGCAAAACGCATAAACCCATGTAATCTTTCAGCACATGTGCGCGAAAATAAGTAGTCATAATAAACGATGGCTCCTTACTAACCTTGAAGCAAATTGAGAAGACATTAGCTGTAGGAAAATTGATTGGAAGCTAGTTATTTCCTTTCCCAGTTACGTTATTACCCTTAGATTGATTTTTTTGTCAATTGTTTCCTTAGCCGGTAGAAGAAAATTTGAAAAGACTGCGATTCCCCTTTTTCGCCATTTCGATTGAAAGCAAGTCCCCAATCAGTGGATATGAAAGATTATGGCATAAAATACTCGTTATGTTGTAATTATTGCTGTTAGAAAGGCAACTATCATGGGATAGTCGAGCCAAGCATAGGAATCATTATGATTCACGTTAACGGTGTTTTAGAGTAAAATGGCACCACAAAGTAAAACGCAGCTTGTAACACAGTTTATTGAATTCAGCGCAATACTGATCCCAGCAATCATAACATAAATGTTTCAAATTATGACTTTATATAAATCATACATCTACTGCAATATCCAACATACAAGCATGTTTATGCATGAATGTTTTCCTCATAACTACTCTATCCCTTGACTCTGCTTTACGTTTCTTTAAACCTTTAAGCTAGGCATTGATCCCCTAGTCAAAGCCTTCACATTAGTGGATTTTGAAATACCAGGCTTTGTAGATACAAAACCATCGCTGTAAGCAGATCGTTTTCCCCCTTTTTATTAAAGATTGTTGCTTTCAGGTTATCAAGTGACTTGGAGTTATCATTTAGCACTATCCCATTTCATGTTCTGTCTTTGACCTTTGCTTTACAGTTTTTTTACAGTATGAAGAAAAAGCATTCTATTATCAATAGAGCTGCCAAAGTCATACAAGCATGGTAGAGTGAAAAACAATTTTAATGTAGAAATAGATATATCAGTCCATTGGTAGTATTGAAATAGTACAACAATTAAAAATGACATTATAAAAGAAATACGTATGCGTATAATCATGTTTCTTTCGTGAATCTACATTAAGACCTATGGCGCTCCTTACTTTGCTGTGAATACTCTTAAAAGACCTACTATCTCAAGGATGTTTACTTAGATTACATATTGCAAGTATATACCCGTGTTGGTGATAACAGGAGACATGTCTTCCTTGTTTTATTTCAAAAAGCTTGGTTGATACCTCCATATGTTAACAGAAATTGCAATACTTGATAACAGGACAAAGGGAAGAGCAGTAAGGAGTGGCTTGGTTTCGTGTTTCTTGGTTTTAAGAACGTTCACATTAAATATTAGCAATGAAGATAAAAATCTTTGGCATTCCTAAATTTCAAATTTATAATGTATAAACTATTTTGGAGTTCGCATCAATCTTACTTCATTTGTGAAACATATAGAATCCTCGTACCAATATTGTTGCAAATTGTTCTTCAATATTACACAATGTTTCAAACACCTTCTATTTCGTTTATTATGTGAAGCTATTTAACAATTTGACATAACATTTATGTTTGATTGTGTTATTTATCAAATCTGTACAATGATGTTTTTTTCCATTGCAGCACGAGGGTGGCAATCTGGTATCATAAGTGTACATTGTAACGTGATTTCATTTGTTTAATTTTCAGAATGAAGATATGGTAAAAAAACGTGTCAGGAAAACACATCATCATGAACTATTTGTGAGTTGTTGGAGCTACTATAAAAACACATTTTGTATAGAACTGTGTAGAGTTGGTGCCTTAAGTTTTCGATTTTCAAACAATGTATACCTTTTTTCAGTGATCACAGCCTCCGTTGACGACGTTGCCAGACTCCACAGAACTATCTTCCATAAATACAATAGAGTTATCCCTCCTGTGTATAATCAGTCACACAGTGTTAGCGTCAACCTGTCACTGTTCCTTCTCATGATACACGATTTGGTAAGTATATCTGGCTTAAGGGACATATGGCATTGTTTACATTACAGTGGGAGAAACGCTATTAAGTATTACTAATGGAGTTACTAATGAAAATACGTACGTACAAATAGTGGCTTTTGCATGCTACTACGAGGGGAGGTCGGGTAGCCAAGTGGTTTAAGCGTTCGATCGTCACGTCTTAGACCCGAGTTCGATACCCGACATGGGTACAATGTGTGAAGCCCATTTCTGATATTCCCGCCGTGATATTGCTGGAATATTGCTACAAGCGGCGTAAAACCATACTCACTCAATCACTCATGCCACTACGATGATATAATTGATTATCATAAGTGTAATCACATGGATTGATATACAAATGGCTCCTACTTTATGGATTTACTTTCGGTAAACTTGAGGGACCTATAGTTTTGTTACTGTTTCAAATTATACAAGTTGAGGGGTTCGATCACCGTGCGCGTCATACCTAAAGATGTTAAGAGATGAAACTTGTTATTACCCTGCCTGGCGCTTCGGCATTAAGGGGTTAATCAAGGACTGGTCGGCTCGGAGTCAGTATACTATACTTGATCATGTTAAAGCTGCGGCATCATATCTCAGTGGGCTAGCACTATAAAATCGGCAGCCACACACACAGATATACGTGCATGCACGTCGCTACATATATGCAATAATGTTTGACGCGATGTTAAACCCTATTTCATCCAACCTCACCTCTAATTATTCAGTCTAATTGTCCGTCAATTATCACTTTCAGTTTTCGTGTTTAAATATTATTTCCATATATTTCCATTTCAGGATATGAAAAACCAAGTGTTAACAACAAGCGGGTGGTTGAATATAGTGAGTATGACCGACCACCTCATATATGAACTAGTTTCTCAGGTTAATGCCCTCAAGGTTGGAATACACTACAGAATTGTCGGATTGTATGCACAGTTTGAAATTTGAAGCAGTTTGGTATACATATATCTTCGCTTTTGATGTGTGATACATTATGATGGTAATAATACGAACGGAATCGCACTGTGGACTATGCTTTTAACAGAGGTTTCTTATGAACATGGAAAAGGTTTTATCAACATTCAATCGGTGGCAGCAGGAAATAAACATGACCAAAACAGAAGGAAACATAAATATAGTATGAATATTTTCCTATCAAGGTGGCCGAGACTGGAACGAAGGCATTTTAGCTGCCACTATGGAAAACAACTTGTACTCAGAATCGCTCTTGCGAAAATATACCGTCCCTGAAATTAATCCATCAGGACATGTCAATTGCTGTAGCCTAACCATACAATATTGAATATCTAAAAGGTGTATATGTCAATCCTCGTAGAACTTCAACATAGCTAAATATTTCCTCAGTAACACCAAAGTTCGCCTCTGCAGTTTTCGATGTCCTATTCATGTTATACGCAAGGGTTTTCAAAATAAATGAGCCAGAAGAGTTCCTACTGGAGGTGACAGTTGGGGTCAATCAACGAGGTACTCATGTGGTTCATTATGCGCCCTTTGAACAGAGCAGTCCCATGGGCGCAATGGCTTGTGGTTATAAGGAGAGGGATAGAGTACGTTTTTGGGGGACATTTTTCTGAATACACGTCTGATACCTATGATTGGAATCCCAGTTCGCCCACGATTTTCCTTCTAGGCTTGTCAGCACCATATACGTCCTCGTTGGCTTGACCAATGTGGTAACCGTGGCGTTAAATCCAACTCACTCACTAACTCAATCACTCATTTTTTCAGCGTAGTGGGACTCTTTGAATTATAATAAACCTCATCCAACACACAAGTTGGAACGAGTAGCAGGTACGATAATTAATGTACGACAATGTACGATGATTGAAAACATCAATGCCAGAGAAACAGCAGTCTCGAATTTTTCGAAAGAGACTCCACAGAGCGGAAAAGGCATAAACGTAAAGAAAAGAATATGGATTGATCACTGAAAATCGCTGGTTCTCCTTAAATTTCCACATAATCCGAAATCTGGTGACTGCTTACACACTGTCGGGGTGCCAAAGGACTTTGGACGGAATGTTTTTGTTTGTTTGTTGTTTAACGCCTCACTCAGCAATATTCCAGCTTTATGACGGCGGTCTGTAAATAATCGAGTCTGGACCAGACAATCCAGGGATTGACATCGCGCAATTGGGATACGATGACATGCATCAACCAGGTCAGCGAGCCTGACCACCCGATCCCGTTAGTCGCCTCTTACGACAAGCATAATCGCCTTTTACGGCAAGCATGGGTTGCTGAAGACCTATTCTACCCGGATCTTGTCGGGTCTAATCCGAAATCACGGAACCAGAATTGAAATTTCCGGCTGTAACATGGGATGCACTACCACTGTGTAAACCCAGTACTACAGAACTGAAATATCAAATTTCTTTAAAGTTAGTAAAATAAATATAATAGAACTAAATAGGAAAGAACGCCAATTTAATTAAAGCAGTACATTTTGGATCTTTAAAGTACACGAGGGACATTTTGAATTATGTTCTTTCTCAAAAATCTCATGATTTGATAAACAGAAATGTTCACAGTTACTTTTGTATTTGACTATACATGGATACTATTAACATGGCCATTGTGGTGATATGTGTGAAATATCAAAGGAATTGGATGCCTTGAAAGGATCCCCGGTGAGTAATGTTAGTGAAAGTATCGTCAGCTGTTTCCTTACGTGAACCCCCGGGGTATATAAATTAACTTCAGTAAGTCAGGTGAATCCGACCAGATTTTATTTCTTGCAATGTGCTGACACCTCAAATGTCAATGTGCTAAGGAAAAGCAGACGTAGTGTAATTTAACAGAAATTTGATACCGTGGTATTGCAGTTAATGGCATTAATACTCAATAAAACAGAACAAGTGGTAAATGCACTTTTGATGAATGGTACTATTGGTTTCATTCAGCGACAAAACCTGTTTTATTAGATGAACATGATGAAGATGTAAGGACATGTTTTTACACGTTAATTGTTGATTTAAGTCGTGTTTTTCAAATGTCAAAGTTCTTGTTGTATATAATGCCGTGTGTGTTGAATGTTGATATATCATATAACCTAAAAGTGCCAGTAAAGCATACTATTTCTCATTTCTATGTCTAATAATTCATTTATTTTGCATATTAACATCAGTTTTTAATCATAGCCTCGAGGTCATTCTGCTCACACTGGAAACTCGACACGAATTATCCTGTTTAGTTCTTGATATTGTTACATCGATTTGTTTTACCATTTTAATTGCTTCTTTTCACTTTTCCTCGTGGTTAGGCGAATTTATATTAACTAATCAAGGTAGTTGCGAGATGAGCTGACATTTATAAAGTCATTGTGTTCCTCTTGGAATTCATCGAACACCGGAACGTGGTCAATACCTTACAGGGCGTTTATTTAAGCACTATCATTTACATGTCGTTCTGTAGATGAATGTCAAGGCCAGTTCCATGTTGAAGTAAGACAAGTTCTATGGATGAACAACTTCTTTATAACAATTAGTGCGACGTTTCGGTGTAGATCCTAACACCTTTATCAAGCAAGTGATGGATAGTGCTAAACTACATAGGTATATATACTTATTAACATCAATGTTTATACAGTAAATTGTGTTAGGATCTACACCGAAACGTCGCACTAATTGTAATAAAGAAGTTGTTCATCCATAGAACTTGTCTTACTTCATCACACCAACTTCTAAATGCCACTTAAAGAAGCAGTTCCATGTTGTTATTGCTACAGAGATTTTAGTTTTGGTTATGGAACAAAGTGAACACCAAGCTGGCGGCACCTTAATGACGAACTGATGATAAACATGTATCAGGCTCCGTGGCTTCAGGGGCACGTTAAGATGACAGTTGCCTCAGTTGTAGATTTTATATAATATGTCTGAATTTTACAGCAATGGGAAGACGAATTCCTCAAGTGGAACAAAAGCGATTACGGAGGAGTGGAGGATATCTCAGTGTCGCAGAAAAAGATTTGGCTCCCAGATTTGCTTATAGAAAACACGTAAGATATGATAGTTTGGTATATTTTAAGCATATAACCAGGATTTATTGGTGAAAAAGAGGAGGACATTTTAATACTTAGAATTCAAATTTATGTTTGTTTGTTTGGTTTTGTTTAACGCCGCACTCAGCAGTATTCCAGCTACATAACGACGGTCTTTAAATAATTGAGACTGGACCAGACATTACAGTGATTGACATCATAAGCATCGACCCACGCAGTTGGGATACGGCGACATGCATCAACCAAGTCAGCGAGCCTGACCACCAAACTCTGCTAGTTGCCTCTTACGACAGGCATAACCGCCTTTCATAGGTTGCTGAAGATCTATTCTAACTCGGATCTTCACGGGTGAGAATTCATATTTATCTAATTTGCATAAAAAGGAGTGATGTACATTTTGAACAATCATTAATTCCAGTTCCTTTTATACTTTCAGAGCACAAAATTTTGCTGAACTTGGAAATTCAGCAATGTTAGTGAGCATCGATTACGATGGGAAAATATTCTGGGAACCAGGATTTGTGGCTAAGACTATATGTGAGGTTAATATTGGAAAGTACCCCTTTGACTATCAGTTGTGTGAGATTAAGTTCCTGACCTGGATGCACACAAACAGGACATTAGAGGTGTTTCCTGGGACAGGAGAAGTAAGTTTAGACGCGTGCATCCCCAACGGTGAATGGGACATTACAGCGACAGAAGCAGAGTCTTATTTTTACCCTTCGACTTACAGACCCGGAACGAAACACACTGGAGTAACGTTCAGGATACACCTTCAAAGAAAAAGGACTTTTTACGTGCTCAATACTATTGTACCGGTAGTGATGCTCTCCCTTCTTAACGTGCTTGTGTTTCTACTTCCGGCTAGTTCCGGTGAGAAGATGGCGCTGGCTGTCACGGTGCTGCTCTCCTTCACAGTGTACCTTAGTATAATCAGTGAAGTTATGCCGAAAACTTCAGAGAGTATCTCCATACTTGGTAGGTATACGGATATACGCTCATTCGACTACAGTGTCTCTCTTGACGAAAACGGAGTCAGTGAGAAAAGTGTTGTGAATGTTCATTTCTTTTATGATCATTGAGGCGACCGCGACGCGACTGTGATGCGGATGTGGCGCGATGTTTTCACGCCCCGATGACGTTAGACGGCTGATAGTCAGCGTTTCTGTGCCATTATTGGTATTTAATTTGCGACAACCGTACTCTCATCTTATCAAAGTACGACACAAATGCAAATTGAAGGTTAATGCCATTATAAAGTGAAGAGTTTTAAGAAGCGGTTGACTACATAACGACATGCATTACCATGAGTGCGAAAGGGCAACGAACTTATACGGTAATTTGAGATATACAGTATAACATAAAACGTCAACGCCAGAGAACAACCAGTCTCGATTAGCTACAAGATTCCATTATGCGTAAAAGGCGAAATAGCCGTGAAAATTCTATCAATGGATCATTGAAAGTCAATGATGACACCAGGTGTTGACTTAAACATCCCGCTTATTAAACGGTTCATAGAAAGGTGATTTCATAACAGTAACCAGAGAGAATCATTAAGACTTTAGGTCTGATAGTTCCTGTAGACGAAAACCAATCGATGACACGTCGCTTTTAATATCCCAGGTGACAATATGAAATTGTATAATGAAGTATTATTGGAAGCAAAATTAAAGTCATGGTATAACCTTCCGTTCAGAATACAGACACCATGTCCGCATCGTAATAAAGTCATATACTGAAAAAAGGGATGATGAACATTTTGGGGGAAATGTTTCATGAAAGTATGTGTTCAGTCTACAAATATGTACACAAAATATCCCCTAAAATATTTATGATTCCCAATTTTGTTCAGTATACAAGTCGTATAGTAGTAGTTATCAATGTGTGTCGAAAAGAGATCTAATATGATATTGCATCATTGCTCCCGGATATTTGCAACCGTGCAAATGATATCAGCATTGAAGCGATCATAAAATGGAATAATATGAGACGTGGTCTTTGTGGGAGATTTGTTCACGCTTTTATGAAGTTTTTTAAGCATATACATACTGGCTATACAGAAAAGAGAATTATTTTCAAGCGTTGAAGTAGTGTAATATATATACGTCAATAACAGTTTACTTCTTTGAAGTACGCATGAGATCATAACACAACGTAAGAGGAAACTGTAGCAAAATAAATCTATATAAAGCTGGCTTTGGCGGGGAACCGAGATTTCTATTCACGTTCAAGGGTGTTTTCATCAATTCAATATACATATCCCAGTGCTTGGTACTGAACTGAGTGGTTTCTGTTTTACGAAGTTCAGTTATTTCACGGGCTGTCAGCTTAATGTGAGATGTAACCCGAAGTGAGGCAAGTTCTTGATGTTTATCAACAAACAAGAAGGAGCTTGTGCTGAGAGATAAAGCATTATAATCGGGAAGAATCGATACGGCCGTAGATGTAGACGAGTAGACATACGATGTAGTTCGGTCTAACCAACAATGTCATTCTATATAGTGGCGTGACCTGGATTTGGGTGGAAAACTCGAAGTGATGCTGGTCTTGGGCGTTTTCCACTTTGATAAAACACCCCATCACGAGTATGATTTTCATAAACCAAGGATCATAGTCTGCACGTAAAAAGATCAAGGGATCCTGGTGTGATTAAGGGACGCAACTCTGTACAGCGAAGGGCGGCGTCTTGGACCATTGTCATCATATTGAAGTAGAGAAACAGTTACGTTAGTGACTATAAAAAAAACTTTCAAAAATGTGAATGTGCCTTTCATGTATCGCAGGTTCCTAAACCCTACATGGCTTTTGTATGTGTAGGGTTTAAAGCTAATTGTTACATTACGGCATATTTGGAACATTTGGAATCATTCAGCAAAGGGAACTGTGCCTTGCATTTTACTGTCGCTTCTCACGTCCATACTTTTGTATTTCGCCTCAAGATGCTGACCCTTTAATAGCAAACGAGTGGGTTGAATTTTACGCCGCTTTACGAAATGTTACAACAAGCATGTGGGTGACACCAAAAATGTGCTTCAAATATTCTACCCATTCCGGGAATCGAACAAGGCCTTCTTTGGACAAGCGAACGGTGTAACCACTGGGCTACCCCACTGCCCTGACCATTTGAAAAGTGTTAAACAAAAAAACCGTGAACACAACTTAAATGAAGTGCCGTATGTTTAGCGCAACTAGATCAGACAGTTTCAATTCCTACACGTCATTGGATCATTGAACAAAAGTTTGAAACTAAATTTAAAATCGCCTCTTCGTTTCATGAAACTTACACCCGTTATTTCGAGCCAACATGTGAATATAAAATGTCAACATCATTGAATGATCAGCATCAATTATCTGCCGAAACAGTTCCATTGGACGTAAAATGCAAGATATGGATGGACATCATATAAATGGATCACTGAAAATCAGCGATAAGTACCCTCGTGATAGCACACTGTGGGTGGGTTCGAATCCCGGTTCGCCCCGATTATATTTCTAAGTTTTTTCAGCACCATACCCATGTTCGTTTCACCGAACTGGTAAACGTCTGAGACCCGCATCACTTCGGGCTTTCCTCCCACATTAAGCTGACACGCCGCGATATAACTGGAATACCGTTTAAAGCGGCTTTAAACCCAACTCACTCACTCACACTGTGGGAAAAGGAAGATTCCTTTCTCTTGAAATGCTACATGCGTTAATTAGCATGTGCAATAAAACTAAACATTCTAAATGGCAGGAAAGGTGAATGCAACCAGTCTTTATTTCCATGTGAATAGTTTGACTTCGACTCTCTTCACAATATATGATACCTACCCAATTTCGAGGCAAATGTACATAATATATCTCCAAAAGATAGATACGAGCCGTAACAGTAATCAAACATTGTGTATGACCTTGAAATGCATTAATCATGACCATAATAGACCAAAAAAAGAAACTTGAAGACAGACACACACAAGAAAACTGACGGCACTTTATATAAAATTATATTTAGCAAAATAAGGAATAATGATAAAATTATGGAATAACAATCTCTACCTACATGTACATCACTGAGACCATCGGGCGGTGGGTAGCAAAGTGGATAAAGCCTTAGCTCGTCACGCCGACGGCCCGGGCTCGATTCCCCACATGAGTATTATAAGTGAACCTGAAACGTCAACAGCAGAGATAACCAATCTCGATTATCTGACACAAATTGGTCAAAAAAGGCAAAACAGTGGTAAAACTACATGTATATTGATGGTTCACTGAAAATCGGTGAATACACCAGGAGTTCGCAAAAAAAAAGTAAACATATCCTGCCCCACCGTGATATTGACGAAATATTACTAAAAAGCGGCGAAAAACCTAACTCACTCACTCACACACTAAAATATTCTATATATCACAGATATATTATCTTAATCATCTGGAATATTCAAGACAACACATATGTCTACTCTTGTTTCGCGCTGACACATAAACAGTTCCATTTACCTCCTTAGCAACAGGTTCCTTATCTTAGCAACAGGGTTCAACAAGGGTAAAATAACTTCTTTAGCTGATGAACCAAAATGTAAATAAACCTCACTCAGCGTTACATGCATATCCATTTCGTCCTTATACAAGTACACGTTACATGCTTATCCAGTTTCATGTTACATGCTTATCCAATTACATGTTACATGCTTATTTAATTACACGTTACATGCTTATCCAATTACATGTTACATGCTTATCCAATTACATGTTACATGTTTATCCCATTACATGTTACATGCTTATCCAATTACATGTTACATGCTTATCCCATTACGTGTTACATGCTTATCCCATTACATGTTACATGCTTATCCAATTACATGTTACATGCTTATTCAATTACGTGTTACATGCTAACCCACTTACATATTACATTTTTACTCAATTATATGTGACATGCTTATCCAATTACATGTTACATGCTTATCCCATTACATGTGACATGCTTATCCAATTACATGTTACAGGCTTATCCCATTACATGTTACATGCTTATTCAATTACGTGTCACATGCTAACCCACTTAAATATTACATTTTTACCCAATTACATGTGACATGTTTTATCATTTACATGTTGCATGCTTATCCCATTACATGCTACATGCTTATCCAATAACATGTTACATGCTTATTCAATTACACGTTATATGCTTATCCAATTACATGTTACATGCTTATCCAATTACATGTGACATGCTTATTCAATTACACGTTACATGCTTATCCAATTACATGTTACATGCTTATCCAATTACATGTTACATGCTTATCCCATTACATGTGACATGCTTTATCATTTACATGTAACATGCTTATCCCATTACATGTTACATGCTTATCCAATTACATGTTACATGCTTATTCAATTACTTGTTACATGCTTATCCCATTACATGTTACATGCTTCTCCAATTACATGTTACATGCTTATCCCATTACATGTTACATGCGTATTCAATTACGTGTTACATGCTAACCCACTTACATATTACATTTTTACTCAATTACATGTGACATGCTTTATCATTTACATGTTACATGCTTATCCAATTACATATTACGTGTATATTCAATTACATGTTACATGCTTATTCAATAACATGTTACTAGCTTCTCCAATTACATGTTACATGCTTATTCAATTACGTGTTACATGCTAACCCACTTACATATTACATTTTTACTCAATTACATGTGACATGCTTTATCATTTACATATGACATGCTTTATCATTTACATGTTTCATGCTTATCCAATTACATATTACGTGTATATTCAATTACATGTTTCATGCTTATTCAATTACATGTCACATGCTTATCCAATTACATGTTACATGCTTATTCAATTTCAGCCGTCTACCTGACTGTCCTGCTGTCCCTTAGCACAATGTCCGTCTTATCCTCGGGCGTTGTTATGAATATGATCCATCAGAAGCCAGATCGACCAATACCAAAATGGGTCAACTGTCTCCTGTGTTGTCGACTCCGAGAACTGAGGGCGGAGAAGCGAAAACAGGTCGAGACCGACAAACAGCAAAGCTCCACACTACGTCGCTACGAAAACGGCGATGCGAAACGACGACACTCGGATTCAGATTCGAAAATATACCCGGAAAATATGTCTCTCATGGATCCAAAGACGGACAAAGAAGGAACAATTGGACACGAGTTCTCTGTGTTGTATGATGAGACTGAATTTGATTTTAACAAGTATGATCCACTCCAGGACATAACATGGATAGAGGTGGGGGATGCGGTGGACAACCTTCTTTTCTGGGTTTTCCTCATGTTAACACTGGCCTCAACGTCAGTTGTATTCCTCATGTTTTCGTTTTAAATAAATCATCCTGTAAATACTTGTAGTATGTAGTATACCGATTGTTCAATTTGACATGTGTGATATAACGTTAATTTACAAATGTTACTTCTGAAATTGATAAGCTATTTAATGTCATTCATTCAAGCATTCATCGTAAATATTGAGTACACAACGTCCCTTATCATAGAAGAACGTTTTGCATTTGTTGCAGTCAGTGTGTACAATGACTGAAATTTTCACTTAAGCAATTCAAAGACTGCCTAAATATTTCATTCAGTGTCCATTTATTTTATTATGATGACGAATTCCAAACATTTAGATGTTTCACTACCACTGAATATGAATAGGATTAAAAGAAAGCGAAAGTCAACTTATATTCAAGCACATTTTTTTAACTTGAGCTTGAACTCCCTACTGATTTTGAGTAGATCTGGCAAATACATGGACAGAGTTTTCATCAATTTGTAAAATGGTAGAAATATTTAGGCATTATGTAAATTGCCTAAATGAATCACATTTTACACGTTTACTGTAACAGATATACACGACCGTGCAGTATTGAAGATGTTGAACGTTAGGATAACATTCTACCTGTGTTGTTTCAAATTTTATCTTTAAATTATTCTGGTTTATATTTAACGTTGAACCTTACTTCTGAATAATGTGATGTATCTAGCATTGGTGTGTAACACGTATTAACTTATCAGGACATCATATAATTGAAGAAGCTACCGTAAGCTCCTCCATGAAACATAGCACCAGTAGATTACAGATGGGATTGTTAAACGTTGACAAGAAATGCAGTAGGGGTCTAACTAACTTGGCATTCAAAGTATGACGGATGAAAGAATATCTTTGCTTTGAATTGTCAAATATAGTTACTGCATATGCAACGCTTAACAGTCCCCTTAAACAGAACATTACTAGATGATTCTCAATGAAAGATTTAGCTATGCGACCCGAATGTCAAATGTGACGTTATTAATTATCTAAGGAATATGTTATATGCAGGCATAAAAATAGGTTCAAGGTATTAATGTTCAATTTAATTGTTTTTACCTAATCTGTCTTATAATACTTGATCATCTGACGTCTTCAAATACATAAAACTAGTCTGTATTTCACTCAGTGTACATCGATAAAGTAGATACAATTTCATCATAATGTACATGTTGGAAATCTAATGCAACAATGCAATAATACTCTTTGTAACATTTGCGGGTGAAAAAACCCCATTGTGTCCCAATGCACTAACATTGAAATTGTTTAGTTAAATTCAAAAGATTTACACGGCAGTATCATGTGAGAAGTATACATGTACATATACATTATATGACATAAATTATTTTTCATTTGTCAAAGTTTGTTACGTTGACTGTATATACATTTTATATAAGTGCATGTACTTATGGTAATTCTAACAATGTGGTTACTATCTGCCCTGCCCTTAATTACGAGATTGTATACAATTTTAAACGCTGGGTATTTAGTTCTTTATGAATGTACGCATAACAGGTTTTGGTTGGAACAAAATGATGATTATAAATGTGTATTTTGTGTCTCGTCCCCAATTAAAGGATTATAGGTAAAAGTGTCACTTACGCATTTACACAAATATTGCATATAAATGACACGGGGGTGTGATCAGAAATTATTTTTCACATTTTATGAAATGGGTGGTTGGATATTAAACTGACTAATCCAGGCACAGAATGATTTAAACGTTACACTTAAACGTTTGTGGGAGATGTTCTTCTCCAATGATGTCCGAAAAAACACTATTTGCAAATAACACTAGACCAAGTTCAAAGTACCAATTTATTGTAATGCGATTTCACATGAATGATGAACACATGAATACATTAAATATGTGAATGCTAATATTTCATTTAGCAAACCAGTCTTGGTTGTACCAATGACAAAGACGACCAAGTATTATCAACGGTTGAACGTTTTAATGACAAAGACGATCTCGTATAATCAAGGGTTGGTTGTTTTAATGACAAAGACGATATCGTTATGTAAAATGTTGAATGTTGTTATGACAAAGACGACCTCGTATTATTATGGGTTGATTGTACTAGTGACAAATCCAATCTTTTAATATAAAGGTGGGCGGTCGGGTAGCCTAGTGGTTAATGTGTTCGGAAGTCGGGTTCGATTCCCGACATGGATACAATGTGTGAAGCCCATTTCTGGTGTCCCCCGCCGTGATATTGCTGGAATATTGCTACAAGCGGCGTAAAACCATACTCACTCACTCACTTTAATACCAAGGACTGTTTGTAACAATCACAAAGGCGATCGCGTTATGTAAAGGGTTGACTGTACAAATGACAAAGACGATCTCGCAATCTCAAGGTATGACTGTACTATTGACAAGGACGATCTCGTGTGTAAAGGGTTGTTTGTACTAATGACAAATCCGATCTTGTAATACCAAGGGCTGATTGTACCAATGACGAAGACGATCGCATTATGTAAAGGGTTGTTTGTACTAATGACAAAGACGGTCTCGTAATATCAAGGGTTGATTGCATTAATGGCAAAGACGACCTCGTTAGGTAAAGTGGTGATTCGATTAATGACGAAGACGAACTCGTACTGTTAATGATTACATGTATTAATATCAAGGACAATCTCAATGGCTGAATGTACTGATGGCAAAGACTACCTCGGTTTACCAAGGGTTCGATTATATTAATGACAAAGACGATGTCGTTACGTAAAGGGTTGTTTACACTGAAGAAAAAGACGGATCTCGTTTTATCAAGAGTTTCGTGTACTAATGACAAAAACGAATTCTAAACGGATTATGGTATTGTACACTCAAAACGCATAACCGGTTAGTTCCTAATCATCATCATCGAATATATTCATTTGGACAGGGTCTGATAGAATTCACTATAATATATGAGTTAGGTTAAATGTGAAGATATTTCTTAAAAACAAGTGTATGCATTTTTGTCGTGTGCTCACCTGATGTTTTTCCCTGGCCCGTGTATGTTGTGCGCCAGTACAAAATGTTTAATCGACTGCACGCTTGTAGATCTGAAACATGTATTTGAGCACAGGAGTCCGTATCTAAAAATAGACACCCTCATGCATATTCATGACCATCTCCACACGCGAGCCCGAACTCGCGTGTGGAGATGGTCATGAATATGCATGAGGGTGTCTATTTTTAGATACGGACTCCTGTGATTTGAGTAAGATCATTTTTGTCTTGTATATACTGCTGTTACTTAGCGTTAATATCTACCGCAAGTAATATCTTACGATGCGATTAGATATTTGAGACAAACATGAACATGTATATACTCAGTATTGTCATGTGATGTACAAGTTACGTAATAGCCTAGTTGAACATTAGTTATCCGGACACATTATAGCACATGCTACTTTTAGGTAAATTCAAAACGCCAGAGAATAGACACCAGGTGTTTGCAATCGCATTGTATATTTTAGTATAGAAAACATGTCAATATGTTATCAAACAATTCGATTGTCCCGTCTCTGGATATACCTCTGGGGTTCTGAGTGTAATTGGTTGTCTGAGGGATCACTGTGCTTATGTTCTAAATTTTGTATACTTAAGCATAAACATTTGCCAGTGCACGTGCGAGATCAAAAGTAGCTCTCATTAAATAATAACTTGTCACTGAGTCGGCTGAAATGGATTGGGTGGTTAGGCTCTGCGTTATGAAAAATCCTACAATAGTTTCAGTCTCTGGAATCCTGGTCCAAACATGACCATTTACAGACGGCGGTGATGCATCTTTAATATTGCGGACGGTCACTTGGAATCATCCTCAGTCAGGTGTTACTAGATTTCAGTCAACATCTTTAAAAAGAGATAAACTGATTGAGGCACAAACCGTTCACTTTGTAATGAGTTCAATAATAGCATTCTGAATTTAGATTCATCATCAGTAGCTAGTAGTATAAACTATTCTAATGGGTCAGTCAGAGGTATCAAACCACAGTAACCACCTCTGATTGAAACAGCCGATTTGATGCACGCACCACCGCTGAAGCTAATATTTGTAGATATGTAATTCTCATTCTTTGTCAGTAGGGCTTTAAAATAATTGTACAGTGTAGAAATACTGGTTCCAAAATGTAGAATTGCGGTAACTACAATATTCAACGTATGTGTCACAATACATACAGAAAACACGACAATATCAACTAAGTGTGCATTTTAGGGATAGGGGTACTTTTCTATAGACAATTCTGAAGGTGCGCGCTCGGTTCAAATTGAATTTGGCACGACTAACACTGCAGATATAACCTTACATTGAAAACACAGTATGTTTATCTTATATTCCGTATAACTTACATCTATTTGCTGTTATTTATCTCTGACGCGACTTGCCCCACTTCCAAAGGTAATATCGATGAGCACCACGCGGAACCATTTTTAGCTATTTTTATAATCACGTATGGCATAAAACTCAATGTGACCACAGAGTCAGGGAGATATTTGACGACTAGAATGGTGATACACAAAACTTTGGTTTGTTTAGATGTTTTTTATTTGTGGAAGTTATTGCATGTAATTTGCTGTGTGACATTCGCGATTGTTTTCTTGTGTATTATATCTGTACATATATAAAGAGTTTGTTTTTTATCTCCAGATGGTGTCTATCTGTACATTTCAGCATTAGGAAATATTTGATGATATTTCACACAGTATAATTACGTGTATATTTTACACTATTAGAAACACGGTTTTTCTTAAAGATTGCACTGTTGATCCATTCTGTATATAAATTATGATTATCCTTTACGAGATAAACGACATTCACAATTACTAATATTGATGTTGTTTATGATACTCAACAATTACACACACGCTCACACACACACACAACAAAACCTACAAAATACATATTCTCGCATACAGACAAACACATACACACACACAAAAAACAAAATATAAATCAACGAAAACCACACACACACACACACACACACGCACACACACGCGCACACGCACACACACATGCAGACACAGACACTCACATACTCACAAACACATACACTAGTCACGATATGGCTGAAATACTGCCGATGTGATTTGAAATATTAACCTATAGCTACTCACTCAGTCACATATTCAACGTTTTGCTTTTGTTCCGTACTGTAAACATGTTAACCATATTCTAAAAATGCCTTTTAATGACGGTTGTGCAAATAACGGGTAAGCAAGCTTTGCCGCATATCTAAGATGCGGAAAACAACTTTGTGATATATGGTTGTGTTTATCAATATGGCAATCAAGCTTTGACTAACCACAGCGACTTAGACAAATGTCGGGGACCTCAACAACACATGTATCTTCCCCTACAACACCAATCGGACGTACAGAAGCAACATACCGTGAATGAACACATACGACGCAAGAACACACAAAGAGAGATAGCAAAAAACATGATTATTCTAAAACCACCAACAACGCTGAATCAGTGAGTGCTTGCGGTGCAGGCCAACTGTATGAAGACAGACATTGAGCATGACTGCCCGAAACAATTCTTGTACTGTATTTAGCCCTGATCTTGTAAAACTGGCAAATCATTCACACGTATTTCCGAAAATATTCTACATACGCAATTTATTATTAAAAAACATTTTTTCATGCTTTTGAATACACATAAAGGGACCAGCATATGAATCGCAAAATGCTTTTTCCCCATGCTTTGGAAATGTCCCCTCTTGTCAAATTAATGAACAGTTCTGGTATATATAGAACTTCTTGGAAATTTTCTTGCAATTACTTAAAACATACGAGATTAAAGGAAAGCTGAATCCTGGCAATTCAGTCTATAAAATATTTGTTTTCGCATTTGAGGGTTTTACTGAGTATACGTTTCTAGGAAATTTCATTGGCACACAGATTCTCTCTCTCTCTCTCTCTCTCTCTCTCTCTCTCTCTCTCTCTCTCTCTCTCTCTCTGTGTGTCTCTCTCTCTCGCGCTCTCTCTCTCTCTGTGTAAATGTTATGACGTCATCCTGGAATGCGACGACCCCTTGATACAAAGTTTGACGTCACATATTTCTGTGACAAGTGAACGCCTGCTACATGTCGCGAAGCCGAATGGCACGTTTGTTTCAAATTTGGAATTGAGAGAAGTAAGGTACATTTCAAGAAGAGCATTCTAATGACAAATCCAGGAGACCTCTGGACGTCAAATCTCATTTAATAACGGTTTTCAACTTGTCAGATTGTCACACATTCCGATTCGTTTTACACTAACCCATTCAATGCTGACATACACCAATTTCTGATATCTGTTTCATTTTGGAGAAACAAATATCCCACTGTGGAAGCTAGTAATCAATAGAATATACACCACTTGCCACGTTATAACATTGAATATCCTCACAAAATCAGAATTCGAAACCATTACAAAATATCAACTATTCATTTGAAATTAAATCGAACGATTAACTTTAGATAAAGGATATGGTATGAAGCAACACTCATCATATCTCGAATTTGTGCCTGAGATCGTCTTCTTATCCGCTTTTGTAACCAGAAACTTGCCATGAGCTCTCCCATTTGCTTGGCAAATCGCCATGTGATTCAGTTATGGTGAAATACTATTCATCGCGAATAGCTTTAATATAAAAAAAATACAATCTGCTGCTGGTAGACACTTTTTTATTGTGCCAGAAAGATAACTATGTCGTGCTTGACGTCAATCTCATTAAAATCAGATCTTAGTTCTCGCTACGGCTAAACAAAGATCTGAGGACATCCCGTTACGGGTCACGTCAGACCGACCTTGCGCGAACTTTGACCGACCAATGGAATGAAGGCAGCTTTCTCGTGCAAATTTCAAATTGGCGACAACGCTTCGAAACATATTTTGACAAATTCCCGGTTGCAAATTTGAAACCTAAACAAAAGAACATTCTGGAATGGCTAATAGATGGTCTAGATTGTATGGATTCAGTCATTAAACCCGTAACTATTGATCGGAATATCCCGTGTTAAAGTTTTCGAGGTTGTACGATTAGAATTCACATTCCGACTGTCACTTTCATGATCTGGTAAGCAACGCTCTGATTGGTCGGATGAAAGGTCGTTCTGACGTTACCACGAATGGGATGTCTTCAGATCTTTGTTTAGCGGTAGCGAGAACTAAGGTCTGATTTTAATGAGATTGTGCTTGACGTTGAAGGGGAAGTAATTCAGATGCAGAGAAGCGGATCTCGGTACAGCTACTGCACTGAAATATCACCCTCATCTTCACTGCTGTAAAGTGTCTAGTTTCCATCATGAGAAATCTCTGTTGCACACTTCCAAGTATTCAATAAGATGTCTTTAATTAGACGTATACGGGTGTTTGTAGCGCTTTGTTTAATTCGTTCGTCAAAGTAGGGAAATCTTTTATGCATTTTTCATCTGTTCCAACATCAATATTTACTCCGTATATATTTCTCTGTTCCATTTACCTTTGACCTTTAGTCAGAACATACCAGTCTATTTATACAAAAGATACTTTGCATTTGCAACAATTTCCCTAGCAAACTACACAACCTAGAACGTGGTGGGTGTGGCGAATGAAGCAGGAGATGTTGCACAGAATAATAATCTGTAATAGTGGTACAACTATTGCAATAGAATGGCAAAAGTAGTTTTAACAAAATACCCAAAAGTGCATCACAGGTCATGTCAACATAATGTTGGTTGTTCATCAAGGACAAGCGGTAGAATGAAAAGGTTAATATAATTTCCTAATGACCCCATATACATTAGGATTGAATGTAAAAACCAAATATGTTTCCTGTCACTTGAATACAAGACATCGTCGAGAGTTTTCCACTTCTGATTGATATGAAGATGTAAACGGTGGCCCCAAAAGGCCCAGTTAAAGGACATCTTTGAAAACATAATCCCCTTCTGCCAGCCATTGGTTTGAGCATTGTCGATCCCATGAAAATAACATGTCGCAATAAGCTATTGTATGATTAAAAGCGACAAAAAACATTTCCATAATCAAAAGAAATCTCACTAAAAGCAGAGCGCATTCTACGAGACCGACATTATCACGAGCATATTTTTATGAATCAGTCAAATAGTGATGACAC